TTCCCCATGACCTTCAGGGTCTTCTCCATGACCTTCAGGGTTTCCATGACCTTCAGAGTCATCCCCATGACCTTCACGGTCTTCCCCATGACCTTCATGGTCTTCCCCATGACCTTCAGGGTCTTCCCCATGACCTTGAGAGTCTCCATGACCTTCAGGTTGGGTCTCCCTGACCCGGGGACCTCCCGTTGTCCCCTTGTCCCCCCAGGGTGGTGGCTCGGAGCAGGAGAGGACGAAGAAGAAGCGTCGGGGGGACCGTTACTCCGTCCAAACCTCCCTCATCGTGGCCACCTTGAAGAAGATGTTGCCCATCGGCCTCAACATGTGCTCCCCCACCGACCAGGAGCTCATCACCTTGGCCAAGGGGCGCTACGCCCTGGTAGGGCCTCGGGGACATCTCCTCCGGGGGGTGGGGACATCCCTCTGGGGTTGGGGACATCTCCTTGGGGGTCAGGAGATGTTCCTTGGTGACCTCCTTCTTGTGGTGTCTCCACCTTCTGCAGAAGGACACGGATGAGGAGGTGCGGGAGTTCCTCAACAACAACCTCCACCTTCAAGGCAAGGTGAGGTGGCCCCACGGTGACCCCAATGTGTCATCTCCTCCCTCTCCCCCCCCACACGTGTCCCCCACGTGTCCCACCACGTCCCTGTGGTCCACACCACGTCTCTGTGGTCACCACATCCCACCATGTCCCTGTGGTGCCCATGGTCATCGTGGCCCTTGTGGTCCCCACCATGTCCTCGTGGTCCCCATGTGTCCCACCACGTCCCCATGTCCCCGTGGTCATCATGGTCCGTGTCCCCATGGGTCTCCATGTGTCCCACCACGTCCCTGTGGTCACCATGGTCATCGTGGTCATTGTGGTCCCCACCAAGTCCTCGTGGTTCCCATGTGTCCCACCACGTCCCTGTGGTCCCACCACGTCCCTGTGGTCACCAGGGTCATCGTGGTCCTTGTGGTCCTCACCAAGTCCTTGTGGTCCCCATGTGTCCCACCACGTCCCCATGGTCATCATGGTCCCCGTGGTCCTTGTGGTCCCCACCATGTCCTCGTGGTCCCTGTGGTCCCCCTGTCCCCGTGGTCATCATGGTCCATGTCCCCATGGGTCTCCACTGGGTCCCCGTGGGTCTCCATGTGTCCCACCACGTCCCCATGGTCCCAGTGGTCCCCGTGGTGTCATCCCTGGTCCCCACCATGTCCTCGTGGTCCCCGTGGTCCCCATGTGTCCCACCATGTCCCCGTGGTCCTGGTGGTCCCCATGGTCATCATGGTCCCCGTGGTCCTTGTGGTCCCCACCACGTCCCTGTGGTGCCCATGGTCATCGTGGTCCTTGTGGTCCCCACCATGTTCTCATGGTCCCAGTGGTCCCCACGTGTCCCACCATGTCCTCGTGGTCCTGGTGGTCCCCATGGTCATCATGGTCCCTGTGGACCTTGTGGTCCCCACCATGTCCTCGTGGTCCCCATGTGTCCCACCACATCCCTGTGGTCCCCACCACGTCCCCATGGTCTCCATGTCCCACCCGTGGTCCGCGTGGTCCCCATGTGTCCCACCATGTCTCTGTGGTCCCCCGTGGTCATCATGGTCATCGTGGTCCTTGTGGTCCCCACCATGTCCTCGTGGTCCTCATGTGTCCCACCACGTCCCCATGGTCCCCATGGTCCCCACCACGTCCCTGTGGTCACTATGGTCATCGTGGTCCTTGTGGTCCCCACCATGTCCTCGTGGTCCTCATGTGTCCCACCACGTCCCCATGGTCCCCATGGTCCCCACCACGTCCCTGTGGTCACTATGGTCATCGTGGTCCTTGTGGTCCCCACCACATCCCCATGGTCACCATGTGTCCCACCACCTCCCCATGGTCCTGGTGGCCCCCATGGTCCTTGTGATCCCCACCACGTCCCGGGGTGTGGTGGTCCCCATGTCCTCGTGGTGTCATCCTGGTCCCTGTGTCCCCACCCCATGGTCCCCGTGGGTCACAGTGGTCTCTCCCCGGTGTCCCCAGTGCGAGAACAACTCCTCCATGCGGTGGCAGATGGCCCTCTACCGCGAGATGGCCGGGAAGGCCGAGGACTCCGACAGCCCCGAGAAGATCGTCCGGAGGGTTCAGGAGGTCTCGGCCGTGCTCTACCACCTCGAGCAGGTCAGGGGGGCCCCACGGGGGGTCTTGGGGGGCTTTGGGAGGTCCATGGGTTGGCCATGCTCTACCACCTTGAGCAGGTTGGGGGTCCCAGGGGGTCTGGGGGGGACCAGGAGGGTCTTGGGGGCTCTTGAAGGCTCTTGG